TATATATATATTATATATAGCTATTGCACAGGGTGTTAAAAATTGATTGCACATTAGTTATTGCACAGGTTTTTGCAGTTATAGTGCCGCATTGTAAAGCCTAACATTTAATTCTCTTTCCAACAACTTTAATGCAAGTAGTTTGAATTGCAAAATCGTCTTGATATAATTATTTGAAAAAAAAGAAAAGGGGATGTAATTATATGATATGCATTTGCCATACTGAAAACCAGAAATGACGACTGTATGACCGGACGTGACGTATCCCTGTGTTGTCTAATGGCTGCATACACATTGGCCACGCTTGTCTCTTAATAATTATATTTTCTTTCACTTTTTTTAACGTTTCCTGGATTTTTTGCAGCCATGCCGGGAAGGCAGAGCAACAAACTCCCCAACAACCTGCCGCAGCTTCAGAACCTCATCAAGAGAGACCCGCAGTCATATGTGGATGAGGTGGGCGCTGGGAGCAAACATCACCGGTAGAAGTTATGCACGCGGTATTCAAGATTTCTGCTTTCTGTCTCAGTTTCTCCAGCAGTACCGACATTATCAGTCCAATGTGGAGATCTTCAAACTGCAGCCCGACAAAGTCAACAGAGAGCTGTCGGAGCTGGTCGTGTTTCTGTCTCAGGTAGCCTAGCCTAGCCTAGCATCCAATGTGATAGCATGCATCATGTACTGCAAATGGTGGATAAACATGTCTCCCTGCGCTTCAGGTGGCTCACTGCTACAAGGAGCAGCTTTCTACATTCCCCAGAGATCTGTCCCAGTTATTACTGAGCTACCACACAGTCATGGAGCCAGATCTACGAATGGTGAGAGGAGCTTTTTCCTTAACAGGTGTTCTTAATTGGGTTGTCACGATTCTAGAATGATCAACTCGATACCAATACTCAGGAAATATTCGATACTCGATACCATTTTCGATACCACAAGGATAAAAACAAAGATCCCAAAATTTAACAGAAATATTTTTATTAATAAATAAAATGCAATAAATAAATGCAAGAAACAATAAAAAGATTATTATTAAGCAAGCTTTATTAAAAAAATAACAAA